AAAAGTGAAAAGAAATATTAATAATAATAATAATAAAAATAATAATAATAATAATAATAATAATAATAACAACAACAATGACAATAACAATTGCATCTATGCTTTAGTGGTTAGGCTAACAGACTTGTTATCGTGAGGTTGCGGGTTTGGTGTTCAAGCCTCAGGCCTGACATTGTTTCCTTGCAGATGGGAATGGGTACCTACCTGGCCATAGACAGTGCAAGATCTTGTCAGTATGTTAGTGTTTCAGAACGGTATCTGGTCTGCTAGGGTAAAATATAGATTGTAAAGCGCACTTAGCACTTAGGGAATTTGCGCTATACAAATGCTATCTATTTTCATTACTATTACTATTATTATTACATTTTGGGGAAATGTTGAAGAGTGATGACCAGGAATGCTGTTTTCAATGTCAATCTTCTGGAAGACACAACAATCCTTATTTCTTTTGTACGTAACAAGAATATTTTATTTTTTTCTGAATATATTTGACAACGTTCTTAGAGCTGAAAAAAAGGTTAGACAAATCAATACAGGATAAAGTATAACCCCCCCCCCCCCTGCATATTTTCTCACACCAGGACGATCACAGCCCATTGTTTCCTGTTCCTGTAAAACAACCAACTTCATCGGGACCTCAACAGTGACCCCAGATGTTTCGCGCTAGGTCAAGCAGTTTCGAAATGGTAGGTTGAATAAATTCTTTACTTTTACTGTTTATTCTTTAAACACAGCGCACACTAAAGAAAGTTTCATCAAATCCCAATTTGGTCTGGTTTGATGTATTTGAGAGTGGCATATTTTCCTTCAAGGAGGAGCATAATATCAAAAAGCTAATATTTCGTCGTAATTTGATCAAATCCTCCAAAATCAAACATGTTTATTTCTCCAGGTCAGATTCGTGCGCATTTCCGGACCCAAAGTGACCCAACCTGATGCAGAGGATCTGATCTGTTTGACCAACAATCATCCTTTCTTACAGACAAGAGCAGGTGGGTGGTTGGCGGGTGCTCTGGTGTGGTTTGCTTCTTCTTTCCTATCAAACATCTATCATCCGTATCTCTCCTCCTTCTTTTTTAAAATTTGTTACTCTCTTGTAACATCTCTTGTTTTTTTTGTTTTTGTAAGTGTTTTGCGGCGCTCGCAACTGCATTAGGTCATATGAGCGCGTGTAACACCTCTGATCTTCGGCACTTGTATATGACCTAATTGCATTGCAAGTGCTGTAAAACACTAACTAAAACTTAAAGACAAGAGCAGGTGGCAGCCTACCTGGGCAGACGGGGCAGCACTGGCCTGGCACGGCTTGTGGGTTGGTGCAGTGTACGGCACACATCTCTGCCTGGCATTGAGCGTGTCCGTCTCTGCAGGTGCAGGTGGTGCAGTCGTTCTCTTTCCACACGGCTGAGTTGTTGTACAGGTCACCCGAGTCCGACACACAACCTGGAAACAGAATGTTTGAGAATGCCGGGGTGAAATCAAACGCTTGTCAAAATAAGGAAATCAAAGATATTAATATTTTCCCACCCGTTTGGCAATTTTTATCCATTTTTGGTGATTTTGGGCCCATTACTTTTTACATCCACTGGTCATAATATGTGGTTCCTAGCAAATGGACAAATATCGAACATAAACCTGCACATATTTTACTAAAAAAGTTGATCATAACAGACAAATTGCAAATTAGTAGTTTCTAAAGAAAATAGCTTTGAAATTCACCAAAACTTTGGTGGCCATTTTTTTGCAAATTTTTACCTCTGACATCAAATCACCGCCTACCTACCCCCCGGGGCAGTGCCACTGACTGAAGTGTCTTTAGGCCATTCCCAAAGGGGGGACATTTCTCGTTCAAGCATAGTAGAATTGTAAATGGGCTGACTCATGTCACGCTCATAACTGTGCCTGATCTACAACAGGGAACTGCTGCTTTTTCTTTCCTGATCCTTA